GGTAGTGCTGGCACCTTGGTTTAGAATAAATAATGATGACAATAAAACCGCCAGTAGGTGGCAGCAAGACGAGCAAGTCCATGTTTTAATAAATAATTTCAAAGTTCAAAACGGCTGATTCAATTAGAAACTAAACAAGTGAGTCCATCTGAATGGACTGTTGAATCACTGGCCATTAAATTAGTTAAAAACAGATTCATTAAAGTTACTCTGCACTGTTGTATAAAATTAATAGCACATTTGTGCTCGCGCACACGCGCTAATGATATTCAGGAAATGACATTGCTTGTGCGATGAATAGCCTGTAAAAACATAAAAACTCAAACATGGGTATTTTTCTTTCATTGCTTGAATTATAAGGGAATTCTAACTCCATTCTAATAGGCTTAATCACACAGATTTTGTACTCTCAAAACGTGTTTTTGTTTGTTTTTTGCAAAGTCGGTGACTGAGACGATATAGGCTACTCTCAGTCCCTCACAGTCACACATACAGCACAATAACATAATGTTTTATTTATATAGTGCCTTTCAAAAACCCAAGGATGCTTTACAAAAAGTTGATAGATAACATGAACACAAATACAAATATACAGTTACATGATCACACAAATAAGCAAACAGAGATCTTATAGTCAGTGGTCGAATTGTAAAAAAAAAAATTCAGGTGGGATGGGGGGTTCCGATAGCCAATTTTACATAATGATTACAAAATTTGTGCAATTTTTAAAAAGGTATTTATTTAATGAAAAATTAGCCTTATTAAATTATTTATAAGCTTTTTTCCCTCTGGTGCCTGAAATGGAGGAATTTTGGTGAATATTTTGCTAAATGTGTTTTTGTGCTGGTAGTGCTGGCACCTTGGTTTAGAATAAATAATGATGACAATAAAACCGCCAGTAGGTGGCAGCAAGACGAGCAAGTCCATGTTTTAATAAATAATTTCAAAGTTCAAAACGGCTGATTCAATTAGAAACTAAACAAGTGAGTCCATCTGAATGGACTGTTTAATCACTGTCTCACTCTAATCGTTCAAAATCTGATTCATTCAAGGAACGAAACACCGTGTTGCTTTGCACTGATGTATAAAATTAATAGCACATTTGTGCTCGCACACATGTGCTGATATTCAGAAAAGTACATTGCTTGTGCAATAAATATAAAAACGTAAAAACTCATGTTTTTCTTTCATTGCTTTAATTATAAGGACATTCTAACTGTATTCTAACAGGCTTCATCGTTTAGTGAATGCTTTTGGACTCTCAAGACGTGGTTTTGTTTGGTTTTTGCAAAGTCGGTGACTCCATAATGTCAGCTCTTCTATCGTCTCTCAATCCCTCACAGTCACACTACAGCACAATAACATAATGCCGGGGAATGTCTTTAAATTATAATCAAGGAAAAATCATACCTTTTCTGTTGTCTTCTTTTTAAAGAACTTCAAAAATTGCGCTTGAACCATTTTGCGCGAAAAATGTTGAAAACTCGTGAACAGCTTGTTACAGTTCCGAGTTCTGATTGGCCAATCGCCACTATTTAGTTTGTGAATTATTATAAGTAGGGAATTTTCACAATTCATTTGCATGATAAATTTTACATAATTCAGATTATTAATCTAAAGGGGATGGTAAGGGGGGATGGTGGTTTTACCAAGGGGATGCTTTTTGTAATTTTTTTCATCAAAGGGGGATGCCATTCCCCGTATCCCCCCTCAATTCGAGCACTGCTTATAGTGTGCATGATTATAATAAATAACAATAATGTAAAATAACCTCAATTATTACATATTATATGAAATGTATACATAATAGGCCTATTAAAAATATATTAAACTAAAAATATTAAAAATGATTAAAAAAAATAAAAAAATTTAGGGATGCACATTATTATCGGAGCATTATCGGAATAATGGCTTAAAATGTAAATATCGGCATTGGCCCGACATGAAAAATTATGCAGATATGCCTTCCCGATAAGACGAATAACGATAAGATCAGGTCAGCAGAATGATGATTAGAATCGATGTTTTGGATCACTACATTTAATTTGAGAATGCATGTACAGAATGACAGGTTCTTTATAGAGTCAACAGTCACTAGCGGTGCAGTAGCGGTATCCCTTGGGTCCTAATGCCCGTCCAGTAAGGTGTTTTTATTACTCAAGTAAATAAGCAAAAGTAAAAAAAAAAAAAAAATATATA